TCTGGTTGTTGTCATTAGCCACGTACAAACCATAGCTAAAGAAGTTTGCTATCTGTTTATTCGGAATGTATTATCAATGACCTTTTAATATACTCTGGACATTCTCAATAAATTATATACAGGGCACATAATTTACTTTTTATTTAGTTTTGTTCCATGTTTTTACATGTAGGCCCTTCAGAATCTTTAAATGAGATATCATTTCTGACTCATCATTTTACAATTTACACCACACAACCGGCAGGTCTAATTAATTAGTTCTACAAGAATATCAGCAAAAATAATTATTTGATTCTGCTTTCTGATAAGCACACCATAGTACACCATAGTTCACCACAGGCAGTCACTCATGAATCAGTTCTCACTGTATCATTATTATCTTGCTGTATTATTACTTTTATTATTATTATTTATTATTATTTACAGTATTATTACTTTTTGGACTTACCTACAAATTCGACTTAAAGACAAACTTAGGGAACGGAACTCGCTTGTAACCTGAGGACTGCCTTTATTTGGTAATGCTCTACTTCCTGCAGTTCTTTGGCATAGAGGAGTTCTCCGTTATGTTTAATAGAATTTTATTCTGCTAATCAGTCACGTAAGTAGCACCACTGGTGCTGATGCTTGAGGTCCCCACTCCCCCTGGTGGTGTTTGTTTGTAATCTTCGCCTTTTACTGTGTTGATCAAGCTTGTGCTTCCTTTTTGTTTTATATTTGGGGGTGTTCTGTGGAGTTTACATAACCACTTGAACTATTGTAGTGTCTGATTTCACATTCCTAATTAGTTCAGCTCTCTTCTTCAAACTTAATCTAACAGCAAAGGCTTTTTTGCGCGGACAAGGTAAAAATTGGGAGTTTTTCTATGACTGTTTATCTTCAAGGAGGATGGTTACAGTAATGAAAGTTGGAGCGTCTCTCACTGCAGGCAACCAATAAAAAATGTCTCTGTATGTCCTGACATTTGATGCGGTTTGAGTGCTAGCTGTCTAGGAAGTAAAAGTTTGTCGTCAACAACCATAACGCATAATATTCGTCAGACAACCAGGCAAAGAAATGTTTCCTTTGGCATTTGCTGAAAGCACCGCTCAAAATGCATGATTTTAACATGAGTAGAATCTGTGTAGGCCCCTTCATTTGTATTGTGACTTTAACCACGGTGGGGATTTATGTATAACCATCATAGTACAATAAAAAAAAAATAGATATCAAATTAAAAGGCACATTTTTGGCAAATTGAAATGCCAATGCATTTGACACATTTATCATCTGAAAACACAACGACACAGAAGACTGAGCCTGAAATAATGCTTATGGAACAAAGTTGAACGATTCCTTAATTTGGATATGATAGGAAAAAAGAAAATTAAAGAGCTCAGTATTCTAAATCCAATTGACCGTAGCAAAAATGCTGGGTTCTTTGTTTAGTTTGGCAGTGCATAGTAAACATGCAGCCCAGTTCATGGAGGGCAGATATAATTGGTAGTACGGTTGTGCATTGCTGGTAACGTGCAAACACAGGGACGATGTTTCGGCTTTGCAGCAGTAATGAATGTGTGAAAGGCAGCTATCGCATAATGCGGTCGTACAACGAGCCACCGTTTAAAATCCGAATAATACATGCCGCGGAAGCATGCTACCTCTTACTGTGCGCCGGTACCAGGATTCAGCAGGTCATCAGTCACAGGAGCAGACTGTCTCGATACTGAAGCCAAACCGTCTGATAGCCATGGTCATTAAGTACTGGAATGTTTCAGGATAGACCCGCTGTATTGTTAAGTTCAACAGCCGACCATGTTTACCGTCTGAGTAGAAAGCAGCGACATCTCAGGTCTGGCTTGTTTCCTAATGATCAGCTCCTCTGCCAAAATGAACAACAAGCCCCCACTATGTTTTGACACGCACACCTGAGAGATCACAAACGCACTGTTACTGCCACAGTCTGTTAAAGCATTCTGTTCACTAGCAGCGCTGTCCATGTTTAGGTTGTGCTGTATGTTTCTGGACTATCTGGATGGCTGTTACTCCTGGACTTGTTTATCAATATCAGTGACGATTGTTTACCGGGACCCTGGAAATGGAGAAGTGTTCTCTAAACCAGAAATGCTAAATGTCAGTCATGTATTTGACTTTCACACACCACATTGACTAAGTAAGAAATATAAGCATTGTTTCTTGTCATGTTGGTTGACATGTTTTTAGCTGCTTTCAAAATTCAGCTTATTCTTGGCTGGTAATAATTCAGAATAAGAATTTTTCCTGCCTCTTTTTGAATAAAATAGTAGATGCAACGGCCTGGATGGCATGTCAGAGTGGACGCTTTCTTTGCAGGCCTGGCACTCTTTAGCTTCACTAAGTTTGGTTATTGGTGGTGAATAGAATGGGGGTTTCTGTGCAGACTGGCACAAACCCAGGTACTCATAGACTGCCTTTTGTGGTCCACTCCGAAAGCCGTGGCTAAGGGGTCTGTCCTCGCGTGAAACGAGAGCTGAGGATGTAATGATAGGATATTTGTGCTATGTAAGGTTAGGACCTGGACTGTAACCACGAAATATCCCAGAGCACTCGACGCTTTTCTGAAGTCAGTGATTTGCTCCATTTGAGAAGGATAAGAAAAGTTCAGTCCTTCGAGGAAAATGTATCGGAGTTTGTTGTTTGGGTTTAATTTGTTTTTGTGTGGGGGAGGGGCGTGCATGGACAGCCAGCGGCACAGACAATTACGCTGAGTCTCAAAACCCAAGATGTCAGCATTTGCAAGTTTGTTATTCAGTCTGCCCCGATGTGTGGTGCATTGGGAAAGAGCAGAGTGCGATCAAACAGAGTTAAAGACACTTAAGCACGACATTCCAATTAGCGGAGCAATGGATTATGGTCTGCCTAGTGACTGAGGCTCTCTCACCCAAATTTTGCTGTTCGCATGTTCTCCTCATTAGACAAATGTTGAGAATCTACCGTAATTTGAAACGTCGGAATGGACGCATTTGGTTATATTGTGTTTTGCAGGGTTGGGAAGGGGGTCCATTTGACAGGCCAATATGATTTTTTTATGGTCTGACAGCAGTCAATTTTAAGATTAATGACCAGTGTTTCTATCTTAGAAGAGTCAAATTTATTTGCATATTCAATATCACCATAAAACTTCATTGATTAATGAAAGGTTTTAAAGAAAAAAATATATCAGTTGATATCCACCCAATAGCCGGAATTCACACGCTACTATCCATCATGTGCTGTGCTGTTAATACATGTTTTTAGCTTATAGAAGAGATGCATGACCTGTTTTCAATCTCTCATGATTATTCTTTTTTTCCCCTTTTAGACATATCGTGGTTTGTGGTCATATCACTCTTGAAAGTGTCTCCAATTTCTTGAAAGACTTCCTACACAAGGACAGGGATGATGTCAATGTAGAAATTGTTTTTCTCCATAAGTAAGTACAACAATTAAACAATGAAAAATAGTAACTGAAGATGTTCGGAGTGGCAGCCCATTGGTGCTGTGGTCAGTGCTGTAACCTCAAGCCACATGGGTTGTGGGTCTCAGTCTGACCGCACATCTGTGTGGGTGCCTGTTTATCGTTTCCAACATTTATGATTGCGGTGAAATTGTGACTTGACATTTCCACTTAAATGTGTCTGTCTGTCAAGGAACTGGCGTCTTGTCCGTGATGTACTGTACTATGCCCTAGGCCACCTCAACCATGCTGGGATTAGTGGTTATTGGAACTGGATTGATTGAGTTGTCAAAATTCTAAATAGTCAAAATCCAGAATTTACCATCATCTGTTTCATATTAAATGTACTTGCTTGGAAAAGTTATTGTTGCACTAAATGACTTTCTGTGTTTTCTTTTTCTTTTCCCATCATGACAGTATTGACCCTAATCTTGAGTTGGAAGCCTTATTTAAACGGCACTTCACTCAGGTGGAATTTTTTCAGGGATCGGTCCTCAGTCCAATTGATCTTGCCCGCGTAAAGGTATAGTCTTCCAAGCTGAATTGGCCGAATACATATAGTATACTGCTGTACAAAGGCAAAACAGTCTAACTGAATATTTTAGCAAACCTGAGTTATTACTGAAATGACGTCTCGTGCTCTATTTTACCTTGCGACAAAATATCTCCTACAATTGTTTACACAGTTTCAAGCTTAGATCTTACCTATCTGCATGTTCATTATACTGCTAAAATATTGCACACTTGCACATTTGTACTTGCATACTTGATGACATCCAGTATTGTCCATTTTACATACAAAGCTTTATGTACATATACTGTTGACTTTATTTGTTATTTAATTTTATTATCTTATTATTTGGTGTTCTAACATTGTACTACTCTATTCCGTCATTCTGTTTAAAATTTGTTGCATCAGCTGTCGGAGTCACAAAACACCTCTGTTACATGTGTTCCTCTGCATACTGTAATGACAATGTTGAATTGACTTGAATGAATCTTAGTTCAGCTGCGCTTTGTTCTGAAGAAAGTACTATCGTTTACCTACCTTCTAAGTATACTCTCCTTGAAGCCCCTTTTCTGTTTCAGTGTCAGTGGAGTTACTGTGTTATGCCTTTGTGGGGCAGTATAGCTACCAGGCATTTGCCGTTACATCCTTTCTATACGATAGATTCCTTGTAATGAATGTGCGTCCCACTGCTGTCTGTCATAACTTTCAGTGTCACTCACGCTTTCTTTGCTTTCTCTTGCTCAGATAGAGTCAGCGGACGCCTGCTTGATTATTGCTAACAAATACAGTGCAGATCCAGATCAAGAAGATGCCTCCAACATCATGAGGTGGGGACAGCTGCTCACATGCTTGTTCTCTTCAGCCTGTGGGAAGCCGGGGTTTCGCCTGCCTGCAACGTGGCTTCTTTTAGGATCCCCTTTTGGCTTTTTGCCACATGCACAACTTTTATGCGTCCATTACCTCTTTTATAAACTGTATTGAGAAAGTCAGGGGTGTGGGATCTGTCCAACTTCTAGCTAGAAATAGAATCCATCCCTTTAAATATACAGTGGTACCTCGGTCCTCGAACTTAATCCGTTCCGGACTCAGGACTGAATCCTAAAAAGTTCGAGTTCTGAACGAATTTTTCCCATAAGAAATAATGGAAAACCAATTAATTGGTTCTCGGTCCCCCAAAATTACATCTAAATATGTTTTTTTTTTTTTTTTTAGCATTTAAACACAAAATGAACAGGATAAAACAAGAAGTGCATTTTTTTCTTAATGGCTTCCAAAACGATAAAGATCTTATCCCAACATTACCCCTGTCCTGCCCCGATCGTCCGCTCCTTCCGTGTGCCACGCCCCGTCGTTAACCACACATAGGGGCCTGCTGGATGTTTGCATGCACTAATAATTGACTTCGAAGCTAATGCTAAAAAACATCGTACGTTCCTGTACACACTGATTCTTGTTTCTTAATGCCCCAAAAGAAATAATTGGCTAAAGTTACCTCTAAAATAGATGAGGAATGAAAATGTGTGCTCTTATACATATTTTATGCATATTTTATTTATTTATTTCTGACAACAGCTTTGGGGGTCTGGCTGATTCTGGATACACTCCGTTTACTTTGGATTTTAAAATGTGCTTAATTTCTAAACTTACAGAGTTATCTCTATCAAGAACTATCATCCAAAAATACGAATTATCACGCAAATGCTGCAGTATCACAACAAGGTAAGAAGACACCTCACCAGTGCTATTGGCATATTCCTTTGCGGCGTTGTGTCGTTTGGTAGTGACAGTTGTTCTGAGGAACAGTGACATGCAACATGTTTCTCTGTCAAAGATGAGTGTTTGACATTTTTCCTGATCTGCGACTTCAGGCCCATCTGTTAAACATTCCGAGCTGGAACTGGAAAGAAGGAGATGATGCGATTTGCCTTGCAGAACTGAAGCTGGGTTTCATTGCCCAAAGTTGCCTGGCCCAAGGTCTTTCAACCATGCTTGCCAACCTTTTCTCCATGAGGTCAGCCATCCAGGTACTGTCGTCTGTTTAGAACTTTGCCGTTAGGTTTCGATAAAGTGCTAGACAAACTGAGTGCTGAGTGCAGTGTAATATTTAATTTACTAAGAAGTTGTTGCCCATTACTCAGCTAGCCTGTTAACACACAGTTACTCAAACAGTATTTGACAGAATAGTCCCCTGTAAATCACGATCTGGACCTATACAATCATCTATACCACATGAATGTCCTTGGGCAGCAATTTTGTCATTATTATGGAGTCATTTATGCTTTTTTTCAGCACCACCAAAGAAGACAGAAATTAGTGGTCTGACTCGTAACATTAACCATTCCATGGTTCTCTAACGTAGCTGTGCAATTTGAACCATGTCTCCATTTTATAGCCATAAACCGGCATCAAAACCCGAATGGTATTTTTAGCACATAGCGTGAATGGCCTGATCATATTCTCCAATGAGAAACAGCTGCGAGTTAACCCTCTGTTTCTGATAAGGACTTTACATGAATAGAAAAAGAAAAGTGTGTTTTCCGAAAATGAATTTCCTAGTCTTGTGGTTAAAATGAATATCTTCATTTTTTTTCCTCTGGTCAGTTGTCTGGTCAGTCTTGCTGCACACCAAACAATTGAGATGAGTGCATTTTACTTCTGAGTGTTTCCAGAGCTACGGGATTTGACTTAGGAGACAAACATGGGAAACAAAAACACAACGTGTAGTTAAATCGACAGAATTGGTGATGCGCGTCCTGCTGGTGTACAGTATCCCTGCCGAAGAGCAATTAAATAACGGAATTCTCTTGTGTTTCTAGTTTGTATTTTCTACTTTGTAATTCTGTCTGTGTTATTTATTTTTTGGAGCAGTTTTTAGAGCAGAAAGTTGTGTATGTGGACATAATAATAGTAATGTGATGGTTTTGGAGGATTTGTAACTTTAAGATTGTTGGTTCAAATCCTTATACGGCATTCCATGTTCCAGCCTTGAGTAAGGTACTTAGGCTGATTTGCTTCAGTAAAATAATTTAAACCGGTAAATGAAGTAACTCTGAATCAAAAATATCATAAAGTATGTATGTATTGCTTTACTAATGGCCCTTAGGAGCAAAATGGAAATATGACTGTAAATGCACCTATTTCTAATTTTGAGCACAATATCGGGCTGCAATCTTGAATTGGTTTTGGTCCAAGTGAATTAGAAGAGGCTCAAAACAATGTGAAGGAAATAGCGTCCCCGATTCAATCAGACAGAACTGTGATTTATTCATTCTGTAAGGGCAATCTGTAATTTAAAACAAACAGAAAACCAAAATGATATATCTGAGGCATTCTAGTTTGGGTTTTATAGTACATGTGGAATCTTTTATTTTCCTTTTGGCAAGAAATGAAACAGATTTTACGAAGCCAGAAGAAATTACAGCTTTCGAGCGTCATAAAAATATATGCTGTAATGAGACATTTAAAAGTGTTGCAATGACTGATTTTTTTTGAGCAATTAAAAAGTTCTGTTATTATCATGTCTTCTCCTCACTATTTTCAGGGAGAATTAATCTGTCCCAGTTGTTGACAGAGGCTCTTGGTCAGAATTACCAGTCTTACCATAATTGAAGGAATCGGAACTGTTGATATTTTAGATATCATGCCAGTCGTTTGACATCAAGGCCTACTTATGCGTGTTTAGCCTTAGTGATAGGAGGGATAGCGAAACAAGTAAGTGTGCATTGCACTCATGTCATGAGAAGCGAGACGTGCCACGTATTCTCCCGGAGAGGAGCTATTCCAACTGCCTTTTGTGGTTAGCTAGGACGGGTTTATCGGTAACGGAGGAGGCAATAATATGAAGAAATGGCCCTATGGCCCTGGATCATGCCAATAGCATTGAAGGACTAGCGACAACAAAAAGATAGGAAAGATACTATTAGTCACAGAGCCAGCTCTGTAAATGACAGTTTTGTACCACATAATTGCCTTTTGCTGTTTAGCTGTGTTGTCATTACTTTTTCTATGTACTAAATAAAACATACGTGTATTTTTGATGTGTTGAATGCTGGATGCATGAATCTAAAAGTGCAATCTCAATATGGGAGATAGGATTTAGTCTTTGAATTTGGGGGGGGGACAGAATCTGTCAGGGTTATAACACAATTTCTGATTTTATCTTTAGAACAGATTAAGTTCATGAAGTAATTTGTAAAAGCGTGAAAATAAAAATATGATAAAAGATTAGGCATGAGCGTCTCTTGTGGGATCACCTCTGCTGAGGAGCTGAAGGAAGTAATGGTTAGGAAGGACCATGATGGCAGAGTCTGACTGGAGAATTTAGATTCGTCCTGACAGCCCATACACATTCGTACAGCGTAATTTAGGAAGCTAAGATGGATAAAAAAAATAAAATTAAAAAAAAAATGGTTTCCTTAGCTGTAAATGACAAGGCACTTCTATTAGTGCACTCTCAAGATGCTTGGGGGAAGGGGTGTGCTTGCTTGCTTGTACGCAATTGCTTTTATTCCAGACGAAACGAGCGGCCTTCCTTAGGAGTTCAAGTGTGTCTGTAATGGGGTACTTCTGAAACGCGTTTTTAAGCGGAGCTGTCAGTGTGCGGATGAGTCCCGGCGCTGTTATGGAAGTTAATGGGGTTTCTGCTTATCAAGACATTTCATTTCCTGCTCCAGGGGTACAGAATTTGAGGATATGAACTGGCATCACCTCCAAATGCAATTAAACCACAACGCCATATTCAAACAGCCTGTATTCCCCCCCCCCCCCTTACGACGCAGTAGTAATAGTTTGACGTTGCCAGAGAATGAAGATTCTGTTATACTTTATTGTGAGTTGCTCTCGGTTTAATCAGAAAACTTAGCATGTCTCAATGCTAGCCTTTTTAGGGTTCGTCCTGAATAGATACTGATTTTTTTTGACTGTTACCTCTTTCTGCAGTTTTTGTTTAAGTTTTTATAATACAAACAATCGGTATTTCTATACAAGAAAAACACCTCTGTCATGCACTAATGACGTTTCATGGAACTAGCACTAAGCATATCGATCACAGTGCTAATGTGTGGCAAAACGGTAACATTCTTGTTTTTTAAATTCATCTCTAGCTTGATGAGGAAACATGGCAGAAGTACTATCTGGAAGGGGTGTCCAGCGAAATGTACACTGAGTATCTGTCACCTGCCTTTGTGGGTCTGACTTTTCCTACGGTTTGTGAGTAAGTGCTGTTTTCTGATTCCTTTAGCTTCTCTTTATCGAAAAAAGTGTTATTCTTAGTCACATGAGTAATAACAGTAATAATCATGGTATGGAAAGGGAGTGCACATAATTTAACTAAATGTTTTAAAATGTGTCTTGTTTTGTCTTTTTGTAGACTATGTTATGTGAAGCTGCAGCTGTTGTTGTTAGCTATCGAATACAAGAATGATCAAGGAGAAAGCAGGTACGCTTTATTAAACCTTTTTTCTAAGGTTTAATCTCCCCCCTCCCCCATGTGCTTATGGTCAAGTTATTTAATGTTTTTGGGACAAGTTTAAATAACAATAAGTCCATTATAGTATGTAATATTTCTTCTGATGCTTTATTATTGCTTAAGATTCCTGTTTAAATAAGATTTGATACACAAAAATCATGTCTTTTAATTTTGGAATTAATAAAGGAACTATATACTTTAATTATCTAAATGGGATATTTATTAAACACTTTAGTGTTGTTCTGGTGACCAAGTCACGTGATGTCATGTGTTCATCTATCCTGGCTGCCTGTGAATGCAGTGTTGTCTTGTACTTTCTGCTGTAAGTTGTGCTAAACGCTACATCTGTCGGGACCTTTCCTTTAATTCATTGGGTCTTTAGATTTACAGTATAAGCAAAACTCCTTTTCAGCAGACTACTTGAAATGTCCAGGGTTGAATGCCGTCTTGGAGTGTTTACAGACATTCGGCTTAGCCAAAGAACCGTGCTTCCAATGGCTGGCTGCCCACATGACTACATGTAGAGGGCGTATTTCCCGTCAATTTGAAAATGGTTCTAAGTTTATTTTTCTTAACTTTGATTTTCTAAATGTAGGAACGGGCTGCTTCCTTGAATATGCACTTAAGATCTTCCTGTTTTAGAATACCATTTTCCATATTAATGCAGTGAATTTTAATGCACCGTGGACTTTCTGTGTTTCATCTTCGTCTACTAAAACTTATGTATGTAAACTCTGTATGTATAACTATTTTCCTTTATTTATTTATTTTTTTAAAACACGCACTGATCTCGATGATTTTAGTTTTTGTGAGCTGACAAACTGCAATCCTGTTGGCTCTAATTATTAAACAACGGCAAAACCTTCAGTTGGCCCGCTTTCATTCACTTAATAAGCTGATACATTCTTTTCATACTTGTCCACAATGGAGAGACATGTGTCTTCTCTTACTTTGAATAAATCTGTATTTTGATTGGAAATGTTTTTCTTGTTGTTTGCAGAAGCCCAAAGCGGTACAGCTTCTCCATAACCTTACAAAGTTTAGGCCCACCTCCTCTACTTTAGATCCTTCAACCTCATTCTATAATCCAGGATTTTCCTGCCAGGCCCTTGTTAATTATTCACATTTCGTTTTTTTGTATATATTTTTGTTTTATTGTGATCATTGTGCCTAAAGCACTAACTTCTTTGCAGGCTGAGAAATAGAATAGTCTGTTTACTTTTCTTGTTTTCTGTCGGCATACCCTGATAACACCTCTTCATTTTTTAAAATTCCTTTTTAGCTTCTTTGGTCCCATAAATTTGTCTGTTGTTTGTTCAGTAACTTGACGTCAGCCACTCACCACTCTTCAATGTTTATCAGTTGTTAATGTACCTATTATTTTTCCAAAAAAGATTTTATGTAGTTTTGTGTCCTCTCTAGCGAAAAATAAAAATCACATTGTGTACATCTAGTAAAAATTTAACATATCAAAGCCAAAAAAACTAAAATTTTTAAAGTGAAAAATGGAAAACCTGAAACTGCTACTGTACCTTTGAAACACGTTATTGGTTCTAGTGCCATGTTAACAGATGTTAACTATATAAAAGTTCTGTTCAGTTTATATTACTAAACCATATTTATTTTGGCCTTTATTGCATAAACTCTTTCTACTTTTTCATATGATGTTCCATATATTAGAGGATATTGAATGGGTATGAATGTATTAGCTGTTTGAATTGTCTTCGGAAAGTCTGAGGACCATCAGGGTTCCATTTCTCACGACAGGACTTGCATAAAAGTCTTTCATTTTCACTCCTGCAGTTCATTACAAACTTATTCCATGTGTCAGTGTCCCTCAGGCTGAAACCCAGAGCTTATGTGCTGCTGAATTGCTATTCCTAAAGCATTGTCACTTCCTGTCAGTTTGGTGTGTTATGATCCAACTGCAGAGAAGTTACTGCAGCTCTTAGCTTCCACGTCCTTTGCAGTAATCCTCACCAAGGCCTGTTATTTTAATACTGTTGGTAGCAACATGCTTAAATATATTGTGCTTGTGGTACGATTTGTTTCCCACAATATGAGGTTTTGAAATATTACGGAAGCAACCTTTATTGCCAATTTTTAAAAAGTAGTCTAAATAATCTGCAGCCTAAAATGAGAAAAATCTCATATTTGGGGAACATTAACATTATCGTGCTTCTTAGAGCGTTGCTTGTGTTTAAATGCATCCGTTTTATTAGGAATGCTTGTGTCCTGCAGCCCTACACTGGCTTTTGCACAGTCCAGCTCAGGCGAAAGCTTAGAAATGGCCTTTGTTGCGTGTGGGAGCCTCTATCTAAGTCTCCCATGTTTGCCTTTTATAGCGCAGGCTTGGTGCGGTGTCTCGTTTCGGTGTCCTGGCAGTAGTGCGACAGACGTGATACACTGACCAGTCCGTGAACCTGTGAATGATGTATCGCTTTCGTCTAGGCTTTTTCATCTCGACTATCGGCTGTTTCCTCCATCGGCTGTCACAGTATCCATGGGATACTCATCATTTGATGAGTCACGTTCATCGGCAACCATCAATGAGCATTCTTGTGTTGTAATGAACAGTCTAATTAATGGGGAATGATACAGGATTTCAAAGTGGGATTTTTTTTAGTTTATTTATAAACTAATTGGCCTAGAGTGCTGAGTTTTATGTTGTACACAGAGGAGAGACCCTTTATTAAATGCAATAATAATTCAGATGAAGTGGCGATTCAGTGATTTCTAAAACCCAGAGTAAAGTATAATCCAGTTTGTGTTATAGCGCACATTGCTGTGTTTTCTTACCAAAACACTGAAAATTGCCTTCATCTAATAGCGATGTGCATTCTGTAAACACAGAAGGAAAAGAACATCAACTGTAATACTAATAATACTGTAAGTACATTGTATCAAGGAGCACTCAGAGAGTGCCTTCGTTGCGTGTTTGGGAATCAGGAGGTCCGTTCATTCCCGTGCATCTCATCAAATGCTAATCCAAGAACATTTTTATTTTAAGCTCTGTTGTCCTGTTAGGTTTGTGTGGGAGGTTGCTGCGAGTTAAAGCCCACCTTGACTGCAGTTGTAGCCATGCTTTTAGGGATATTTAAAAAGGCAGCCCAACAGGTGTGCACCATGCTTGCTTGTCCGCTTCTCAGTTGTAAGCCGTGTTAACACACAGTGCCTCCACAGTGATCCGGGGTGATGGAGTCTGCATTAAAAAGCTTCATCCCAGCAATACTGTGCATATATTAATGTGCTGTATTGAAGTTAGAGTCTGATTACAGCAAATCAGTGGATTAAGGCATCTCCGTACTCCTGTTCTTTCATTCCTCTGTGTGTACCATTCCTCTTGATTAGATCGCTTTAAATGTACTGTACCTGCAATAAATTATCCTGTAAGTTGACATTTTGATTTTATTTTTGTGTTTTTTTTCCGGGCAGAATCATTATCAACCCTGGGAACCAGTTAAAGCTGATAGATGGCACCTTGGGATTCTTTATCGCTAATGACGCTAAAGAAGTAAAGAGGTAACAAGTCCTGTGTTTGAAGTGATATGCGCCGTTCAAAATGATGGTTTCTGCTCAGAATTCCAGGAAGGTATTTTGGTGCGGTTTCCATTTTTGTCACGCTTCCATTGGGTATTTTCAGTGTATTGTCTGATCCCATTGATGAGAGAAGTCATAGCGTAAAGTATGGCGTTATATTGTTGTAATTTAGCTATACACTAGTATTGTACAATTCTTTGGATTCTGTAACTCAATTCTCATTTTCATGAGGATTTCTTGAGGCACTCAATTATATGTTGGAGAAAAAATATATGCAGTTTGTACAGAAGCAAGCCTGAAAGGAGTACTGAAATGATTTTTTGCAAAGTTCTGGGACCCCTGACAATGTCACCTTGTGCCCCCCCTGACAAAATGTCACCTTGTGCCCCAACCCCCCCCAAACTGCAGTATAATTTTACGTGTTCAAGTTATAAAGTGCTGGGCTTTCTGAGTCTGCCAGGGTATCCATGCTCTTCCAACACCTCTTATATATATAGTTGACAAATTCAGTTAAATTATTATAGGAATATGTAGGTATGTTCATAAAACGTAAACCTCGAGGACCGTGATTTGAATAACAGGGCTCTATATACTGTATATCCCATTAAACATCTGCTTCAGGACATCTCCTTGTATTTAGATCAGGAAGCAGTTTTTTCCCTTGTTTCTTTAGGGCATTTTTCTACTGCAAAGCTTGTCATGATGACATCACTGATCTAAAAAGGATTAAAAAGTGTGGCTGCAAGCGAGGTAAGTACACAAGTCCTACACTGAATCAGTTTTGCTAATCCACAGATTTAAAGTATTTCATGTATTTAATGCAAAACTACTGTAAAAAATATGGTCAGCTGTTTTGTGAATTTTCCCGCAGCTGGTAATTGTGTATTTAAACATGCCGTGTGTTTTTGTGATGACACAAACTGGGCAGAAAAATGTTTTCCTTTCTGTTTTATTATTTCACAGTGCTCATTGTAAAATTGTCATTTAGTTCAGGTCACCTTGTTTATATTACTGCTGTGATATCAGATGGGAAAAACCATAATTGGAATAAATGCAGAAATGGGCCATAAAATAAAATAAGCAGGCTGTAAAAAGGCAGCCTTCTCGGAAGCCTGAAAGGATTAGGAAGCCCTACATGCTAACTGTAAAATGTGAGAGACCGAGAGAGAGAGAGAGAGAGAGAGAGAGAGAGAGAGTGTGGGGGAGGCTTTTGAGAGGCGAGCGAAGCAGCGGTGCACATCAGCATGTTAATGATGCCGCGTCAAACAGACGTGAAATGGAATGACATGATTAGCGAGCCCAAAGAAGGCGCCTGTCACGGCCCTGAAGGCTCCTCTTTGAAAACGGCAGTGCTAATGTTCCCAGTCAGGTGGAAAAACAAAGGCGAGTCGCCCCCTCGGAATCCCGCCTTCCAGACCCGCTAAATTGCAGGCCAGGCACCCCATTGGCCTTATCATTTTACCAATAATATCAGCCGTGTTAACACCAAACCCTCCCCTCCTCTGTAGCGGGGATACGGCAACCTGCGATGCAACTCTGCAGGCCCATGGAAGCTGCTTAGCCATAAATGCGTCAGACGATGCGCGCACGTTAATTTCGCATAGCGCTGCCATCGTAGACGGTTTGAAATAGGATTTTGAAGTTCCTGCACATAGAAACTCTGATTATTTGGGTGTGCTTCAGCTACTAGATAAAGATAAACCCTAAATATCAAACTTAGTATCAATTCATATATTATCTTGCACATACTGTACCTCTGCCCTAGTAGCTATGCTGAGGGTAAACTCGTTTACATGCAGATATTAGCAACGAATATTATCAATGAAACCCTGAGATTATTCATAATCCCAGATGTATTTTGCCAGTTGATATTCATATGTTGCTTTTTAACTTCATGTTGGTAAAAAATTTGGAAGTGGTATCAAGTCCATTACTGTTATAGCAAATTGTCCTTTATGACCATTGACTTTGTTGATGTATTTTTTCCTTGCTGCCTTGGAATGCGAACATTTATTTTAACTGCTCACTGATAGTGATATATTGTGAGTAAAAACAGGTTCACTTTCGCCAAGAGTTCAAATGTCTTTTTTTTTTTCAACAGATAGCTTTTTTTTTTTATAGCTTTTTTTTCTTTTGAATATATGTTGCATGCACCAGTGTAGCAAATGCATCCTCCCTCGCTTCTCATCTCTTTATGCTCTTCTCAGATCAGAAAATGATTCAGTGGAAGAAAAGCAAACAAGCCTATTCATTAGGAGCCCAAAATGTGACTGGGAATGTTGAAACACGGTAGTAGTTTCAACCAAAGATGGTGTATTTTCTCGTAAGCAAGGGTAACAACTGTGCTTGGAGCAGTTTTTTTTCTTTTCAATTCCCCATGGAACCAGGATACCAACAGGTTTTTTACCCATTTAAAGCCTACAAGCCTAAAAACCATGTTACCGCTGCTCCTCATAAATTCTAACCCCTTAGATGCATGGAAAAAGTAGACAGGCTAAATCTAAATGTCAGACATACAGATTGATATTGGTAACATTAGTCATGGACTTAAGTGAGCCAAGAAAGCGAACGAAAGGAAACGCGGTCCCGCTTCGATTCGTCTGCCTGCTGTCAGAAACGATTTCGCATGCCGCTGTATTTTCAGAAAGCGGAAAGTATTCTGTGGGAAGTTCTTCAGATTCTTAAACTTAATGAGCAGCGTCGCCTAAACACAATCAAAACAATCTGGTCCTCCGCTTCTGCGTCCTGGCTGTGCTCGTCATGGCATTTACGCACAGCCCCTTTCTCGTATTTAGCAATCATCACTACTTGGCAAATCGAAATGACATTGTCCCCGTTTCAATCCTTGTTGGTAGTGCAACCCCCCCCCCCCCCTTTTTGACTCACCGCCCCCATGAACAGTGTAGCTTTAAGATGATCTCATGCCATCGGATTAGCTGCTGTATGGCATGTTGCCACCAGATGTCCTCCTAGATCTATTCTAAGCTTGAATGTGTTCTGAATGGAGCACTGAGCTGCTCAAAGACCTGTTTGTGGTATGTAATCAGCAGTCTGGTATTCATTTAATAATTAAGAGTTATTTCTTCTGTTTCTGTTCATTTTTAGTAACATTTAACTGACAAACAACATATCATGCAGACAAATAGCACAATAATAATTCTTTAAATATTTACCTAAGAGAAATTATATATTGTGCATATTAAAGCAATTATATATGTGGGCAATTAATATATTATTATATATAAATTAATAGTTACAGTCTTAAATTTCTGAGACATAGTGTTCAATTGTTTTTTTTTAATTGCCCATGTTCTCTTTTTTTCAGTTATTTACGGATTTGAAACATTTGAAAGTATGAATTAAATGAACGATGATTTTATGTATAATACTGCTGATGGCATTTCCCTTTAAACAAGGATACCCTTTACTTTTGAGAGTTCAGCGCTGGGTTGCATGTGACATCATCTCAGTGACAAACAGTCATCCAGTCTCGTGTGCCATTTCCCGACATGTGTCTCTGACTGGCATTCCGACACGCTGTGCTGTACAAGGGCTGCCGAAAGAAAACTATGACGTAATGGATTTAAGCATGACTCTGAAATGACACACCTCTCCCTGCTCTTTGTTACTCCTGAAAAAAACTTGATTTTTTTCCTTTATTAATAAGATTAAATGCAAATCTCTGCATGTTTATTACTACTAATTGAACTGAAATATGATGCATGACTTTATATGAACAACAGTCCCTTTTTTAAAATAACGTCTTGTGCTGTATTCTCTCTCGAGATGGGTTCTTAAATTGGCCACTTAATCTGGGTTTATTTCCACAAATGAAATTCAGAAAGCTCTTTTCCCCCACAGATTGCATTTTGTGCCAGACTCGATTATGGTCGGTTTGCAAATCGGCACCATGAGAATTAAAACCAGAGACTGTTACTCCCAAGAATCATTGTAGTCTGTCGCCATGCCATTTACCATGGTGGAATATATGTCCGTCTCCCTCTCCCGCTTTTTCTTCCCTCTTTCCCCTCTCTGATGCCAAAGAACAAATCAACTTATACATCCTATATGCAGTTTTATTTTATTAAAAGCACCACTTATGTATTGAATTTGCAAGGCTACAGACGTGCATCAGAACATTATCTGCGACGACTGTAGACTTGTAATTGCACTTACCGAATGCACTGCTTTCATATATTTTTTAAAAATGTGACTCTTTCTGATGGATGTCAAAAATTTCCGTAACTTTCTGTCACTTTCCTTAATCATAGCGCTGTGGAGTATGATACTACAAGCACAGCCAGATAGATGTGGTGCCCATTTGCTTGCTGATGCATTTTAAAGTGGGGGCTGTTGTGTGTGGTAATGTTTAGTTTAGAATGGAATGTGTAGTTCCTTTGCCCGGACCCTGGCCTTGGCCTGCTGCTGCATGGTTGACACAGGTACGTGCTCCAGATCAGATGCCAATGGGGGAAACATGGAGTCGTGGGAGAGCGGCTGGCACTGGGCTCTGCTGATGAAGACATCA